TCTTTCGAAAGGTTACTTACCTTTGGTTACGCGAGTTTTGGTATTGTTGAGCGACCGAGTCGCAGTCATTTCTATATTCACACTATTTTAGGCAGCGCTATACGGTACTTGAGGTTTGAATGGTGTGATACCGCTGGTGCAAAATGATTCAAGAACCGGAAATAAAACACCACATTTGGATTGATATGCATACAATACAAAAGACTATCGGATTAACGTCCAATCTAAATGTGACATTTAAAATTATATGAAAATTATTTAAGTTAATCACGAGAGATTTTCCGTTTCGGCTCGGATTTTGATCAGTTTTAATTAATATTTCCGAACTAAAAATAAAAAGTAATATGGTCTTTTTAAATATTAATTGATCAGAAATGAACAGGTCTAATAAATAAATAAATAAATATAATTTAGGGTGAATTTTTGTTTTATTATAAAAGGTGACGGTTTCGATTTTACTCCGAATTCAAATTATTGATAATTTCATTTTAATCAGATATTTATCAAGTTTCTCACAAAGAAATCATGAACCGAAATTTTATTTTTGTATTTATTTTATTAGCTTCGCTTTCAGTAGTCAATGCTATTCCTATTCCACATAAACTTCTTAAACGAACAACCGAATTTATGCAATGTAGACAGTCACCAACACCGCCCTTACTCTCTGTAGTGATTTCACCTGATCCTGTCGTACCTGGTAATACCGAGACTTTTACTGCTTCCGGAACATTAGACATAGATATTCCTGATGGGACTGATCTTATTGCTTTCTTTGGCGATCCTAGTAGTAATAAGATTATAGGGGATATCTATAAGGCGCCTATATGTGATAATAATGGATGTCCAAAAGCTGGAATTCAATTCACTAAAACACTGGATTATCTGGATGTACCTGAATTACCTAATCAATATGATATTGTAGTTGGTGTTGTGAAAAAATCTGATGTACTTGCTTGTGCGGTTGCTCCTAATGTTACCCTTACTTCTGTAACTTTTTACAAGTCTTCTTGATAAATTAATTTTCTGTTATTACTTTTTTTTTTTTATTTAAAAGAAAAATTTATTTTGTTATTGTATAAAAAAGGAATTGTTCAATGTTCTGAAAATTACCAAAAAATTTCCAGGACCCGCGGTCTTGAAAAATGCCAAGAAAAAAATTTTTTATTATTATATGCGAAAATTAAATACATAGTTTGGGACTGCCCTGTAATACATAATATTTTTTAATAAACTTTTTGATCCTAGCCCTCTTGCTAGAAGGAGAACTATCAACACTAACCTGATCCTTTAACAGCCCACCAATTATACCTATTACCCTTTTCACGTTATTTCGAAGTAACTCGGGATTTTCTTTGACAGCGGATTTCGTGAGATTAATCTGGTACTCACTGCCACTTGTACAGTAAATACCATCCGGAGTATATATAATGAAATACCACTCCGTACCAGTGGTCACAATATCATAGATGTAATCAAATAGTTGTTCCCAAATGCTTGATCCACAGTTCGTTTCTTTTTATTTGTCTGAAATGTACTTTCAAGCTGTGCCAAATTCTAAGAGATGAAATACATTATCTTCAAAGCTAATAGACTGATAAGACGAACAGACTTACTTGGATATCCAATTTAATATTGCGAGGTTTCCCTTCGGTGATACAAAGGAGCTCTTCGAGACTTTTGATTATGTAGTCTACTCGGCCTGTCGCATCTTCACCTGAAATATCTTTTTGCAAAACTATGATATATCTTGAGAGGTAAGGTTTTTAGCCATAGCGATAGACGCTTGTAATATTGCTGAAATAAATTCACAGCGCGTGGCCTCATTGGCATCAGTCATGGTTTCCAGATTAGATAATTTTAAAATTATATCATCTATGCAATGACTAAAAACCTTATCATCTTCATTAATTTCCTTGAAGATGTGAAGAAAAAAAAAGTTATTAAATATGATAGTCCATTCCAGAGCGAAGAGAGTAATCACTCACCGGAAGAAAATTGTTTGATACTCGTTATATCTTCCCCATTGGCCTTATTTTTACGTAACATCTCCTTCAAGTCGTCAAGAGTCTTATACGAGGAATAGTTTCGTAATTTCTGGCTGAGACAATAGTTCTTAGGCGAAACCTAAAGGTTTGGCAAAAAAATTTTGAAATGGCGAAATGGGAAACTGGCAAAAGGTGGCGAAACTGGTGAAAGGTGGCAAAACTGGTGAAAGTTGGTGAAACTGGCGAAAGGTGGCGAAACTGACTAAAGGTAGCGAAACTAATAAAAGGTGGTGAAACTAGCAAATAACGATAAGACTAACAAAAATTATGAAACTATTAAAAGATAAAAACTATAAAAATTACATAAAATAATAAACTAAATAAAATGATCTTATAAAAAAGTAATAAAACTTTCGGGAGATAATAAATTAAAAATTTTAGATATAATAAAACTTAGGCCATACAAATTTATTTACTTGGTTTTCATAACATGAAATTTTAAATCAGACCCGGCCGGCCGGCCGGCTTTTTTTTTTAAATTTTATATGTAAAAATTTTTAAATTTTTTTACAAAAACCTACTCAGTTATTAAAACATATAAAAAAATTTTTTTGAAAGTTTTCAAACTTTACCTAGCTGGGTTATGAAAACCAATTTATTAATTTTATATAGCCTAATACTAAAAAGTTTTATTAGTAATATATTTTTTTTTATATATATAAAATTTTATTTGTTAGGAAAATCATATGACAAATGATCTACATCATCCCTACCTTTAATTTGTAGTCTATTGTTTTTTAGCTATTTTAGTATAGGACAAAGATTACTATAGCAGATCGCACATAGGTATCTTTGGAATAACTGGATGAGACAGAGCTTAAATTATTAGATATTAGATAGTATATAGCTAAATAATATTGTTTTCAAACAGAAAGCAAATTTAAATAAAGTCTTGGCATGACTGCTAAATTTTAAAAAAAAAAAATGATGAATAAACAATAAGTTATATATACAACTTTAGTCATTATTTATTTAAATAGTTTGCTATATAGTTGTTAGATTATCTATTTGGTTTTATACTATTCTATTATATCTGTAATCTGCCTATAAGTTACTTATTTAAATACTTTGATTATTAACTTTTTTTTATACTAAATTAATTTTACTACTATATATATAGTGTTTGTAGTCGATTTTGCATTAGTCGATAAAATTGGCTTAGCTAGCTTAGTCAGTCAATTTTTCAAAAAATCGACTTAGTTGTAGTTGGTGAAAGGACAGAATTGGAAACTCTTAATGAAGGATTATTGAAACAAATTAGTGATTTAGAAAAAGAGTGAGTTGATTTTATGATAAAAAACTACACTAACTAATTAGTCATAGTAGAATCCCAACAAATTCCGAAAAGAAAATCAACGAACATAAAATACGAGCAAGTTTGAAACAAAAATTTGAGGAAATCTCCGATATATTATAAAAATTAAATAAATAAAATTTAGGATAATCAACTCCAACTTAGTCAGCTAAGCCAATTTTTAAATATCAACTTAGTCAAGTCGATAAATAATGGTCGACTACAAACACTAATTTAAATTTAGCAATTATGTCTTAACTTTATTCAAACAGTTTGTAAACAAATTTTTTATATTTGAAGTAATCTTCTAATATGTCTGACTAGTAAACTAAAACTTATTTAGTTACTTAAATGATACCTATGTGCAGTATGCTATAGTTAGTTT